GTCAGAGAGCTAGCTAGCTAGCTAAATAGATAGATAGATAGATAGATAGATAGATAGATAGATAGATAGATAGATATGAAGAGACTGGGACAGATAGATCAATAGATATACAGTGATTGATAAATACATATATATGAACATAAGATCAATTAAAATGAACGCCCTTCAATAAATAGATAGATAGATAGATAGATACATAGATAGATAGATAGATAGATATGAAGAGACTGGGATAGATAGATCAATAGATATACAGTTATTGATAAATACATCAGAGAGCTAGCTAGCTAGCTAGCTAAATAGATAGATAGATAGATAGATAGATAGATAGATAGATAGATAGATAGATAGATAGATAGATATGAAGAGACTGGGATAGATAGATCAATAGATATACAATGATTGATAAATACATATATATGAACATAAGATCAATTAAAATGAACGCCCTTCAATAGATAGATAGATAGATAGATAGATAGATAGATAGATATGAAGAGACTGGGATAGATAGATCAATAGATATACAGTGATTGATAAATACATCAGAGAGCTAGCTAGCTAAATCGATAGATAGATAGATAGATAGATAGATAGATAGATAGATAGATAGATAGATATGAAGAGACTGGGATAGATAGATCAATAGATATACAGTGATTGATAAATACATCAGAGAGCTAGCTAGCTAGCTAGCTAAATAGAGAATAGATAGATAGATAGATAGATAGATAGATAGATGAATGAATATGAAGAGACTGGGATAGATAGATCAATAGATATACAGTGATTGATAAATACATCAGAGAGCTAGCTAGCTAGCTAGCTAGCTAGCTAAATAGATAGATAGATAGATAGATAGATAGATAGATAGATAGATAAATAGATAGATAGATATGAAGAGACTGGGATAGATAGATCAATATATATACAGTGATTGATAAATACATATATATGAACATAAGATCAATTAAAATGAACGCCCTTCAATAGATAGATAGATAGATAGATAGATAGATAGATAGATAGATAGATATGAAGAGACTGGGATAGATAGATCAATAGATATACAGTGATTGATAAATACATCAGAGAGCTAGCTAGCTAGCTAGCTAAATAGATAGATAGATAGATAGATAGATAGATAGATAGATAGATAGATAGATAGATATGAAGAGACTGGGATAGATAGATCAATAGATATAGAGTGATTGATAAATACATATATATGAACATAAGATCAATTAAAATGAACGCCCTTCAATAGATAGATAGATAGATAGATAGATAGATTGATAGATAGATAGATAGATTGAAGAGATGGGATAATGATCAACAGATATACAGTGATTGATAGATATATAGATAGATAGATAGATAGATAGATAAATAGATACATAGATAGATAGATAGATAGATAGATAGATAGATACATAGATAGATAGATAGATAGATAGATAGATAGATAGATAGATAGATAGATAGATAGATATGAACTGCATGCCTTAGATAGGCAGACATGAAGAGACTGAGATAATTAGATAGATATGAAGAAACATGGATAGATAGATCAGTAGATATACAGTGAATGATAAACTACATATATATATGAACAGAATAAAATCAATTAAAATGAATGTCCTTAGATAGATAGATAGATAGATAGATAGATAGATAGATAGATAGATATTGCTGATTGATTTGTCGTTGCCTTCTAATTGTATCACATTTTATTGTGGGGTTATATCGATGGTTTGCAAGTGGTTGAAATTTTATTATGCGTCAATTTGGAAGATTTGTCCCCTAATTGGCCTATCGACATAATTAGCCTAAGACTGGACGCTTCCTTATTGATAAAACTTATTACCCAATTGGGCCGCCGTAATAAATAATGATTAACGTTGCGCATTGTAATTGTTGGTCTTTGCACAACGAGCACATAGCACGTGACTAAATATGGCCGACCAGGCTTCGTCCTTGAAGTGTCACATCTTGTCAAAATTGAAAGAAATTTTGAGGCAAGCATTTAATCAGCTTCCCATTCTGAAATCGACATTTGATTTTAATTTCCTTTCGACTGTCTGGGCGTGTTTTTTAGATTTATTTCCCAGATATTTCGACTCAAATATAAGACGGATTTTTTCATTTAATAACATTTCTTGAATATTCATACTGGCTGACAAATATATATATATATATATATATATATATATATATAGATAGATAGATAGATAGATAATACATAAATATAAATATATATATATATATATATATATATATATATATATATATATATATATATATATATATATATATATATATATATATATATATATATATATATATATATAATTTTGTTGAGGTTTCTTCTAGACTCGATGAATTACTTGAACCACCTTCTAATGCTCTGGATGGAGCGGCTTGGTGATGGTATTCGTGGCTCTCGGAGGCACAGTCCTATGATTAAAGGAACTTGGATGAGTTCAACCACGGAATATGTGAACGAACGGCGCAATATCGAGTCTAGTTCGCTAAGTCTTTGTCACCGAGGCCCGATTGTACAGTTGGTATGACGTTTGCCTGTCAATATAGCAGTCCGGGTTTCAATTCTCGATAGTGGATGCACGCTGCTGATGAGTCCCAAATATAGGACGAAACGCTTTCTGCGTTCTGTTGAGGTTTCTTCTAGACTTGATAAAATACTTAATTATCTCAAATCCTCATTAATTACTATTATATATACACACTACATGTAATGTTTTCTGTTATATATATATATTATTTTATGAATACAATTTCTTAAAGGTAGTGCCCTGTTTTTAATTAAACATTATTAATTACATTTATAGCATTTTGTGGATGGCCAACTCAAAAGAATAGAAAAAGAAGAAAATATTCCAAGAAGGTAGTAAAGGAAAGCGTGAAGAAAGGACTATTCATTAACTATAAAAAGACGGAAGTGTAATAATCATCAACAATCTATTCACACAATTTTTCAGCTAATATATAGTCCAAGATAAACAAAATGTAGAGCGTTACGTATTTCAGAAACTGTAATGGATACCGTCAATGGTGTATCGCCAGACAATCTCCGTAATCTTTTGTAGTTTAATTTCACTTTTGGAAAATGGTTGAATCCTTCGTCATGATTAAACCATTCAGCTGATTATTTGTGACTGTCAAGGCATTCGTTTCTCATTATAAGTCATTTAAATTTCACTGATGCTGCACCGAACTGCACCCCCACAAAAAAAACAAAACCTTTCAATGAGTTCGTGTGGAACACATTTATCGAGTTTCTTCGCCTTGACAATTTCCTTGAGATGGTGATATTGTTGAAATATATATATATATATATATATATATATATATATATATATATATATATATATATTTGTGAAAATATATAGAAAAAATAGGAAAGAACTGGTTAGGTAGATCCAAAGTTCCTTATTATTTTAGTTATTATTTTAAAAAATAGTGCTCGATACAAATGTAAACATAAATATAATTATGTCGCGAGTTGGAATCATATTTTTAAATAGATAATTATATATATATATATATATATATATATATATATATATATATTTTTTGAGGTTTCTTCTATACTCGATAAATTACTTGAACCACCTTCTAATGCTCTGGATGGAGCGGCTTGGTGATGGTAGTCGTGGCTCTTGGAGGTACAGTCCTATGGGTAAAGGAATTTAGATGAGTTCCACCACCGAATATGTGAACGAGCGGCGCAATATCGAGTCTAGTTCGCTACCTCTTTGTCACCGAGGCCCGATTGTACAGTCGGTATGACGTATTGCCGGTCAATGTAGCCCCGTTGTCAGAGACATTTCTCTGACACTTTGACGTGGATCTTTTTTCGACTAGTGCTTTCAGACGCTGATTGATGGGCATCCGCTATCACCGTCATTTTCAAGACTCGTATCCCTACTGCGGAACTTCGGAAAGCAGCACTGTACATTCCGATTACAAATATGGCAACAGTACTCCATTTTCGGCCTGATCTGGCTCTTATAAAGGATAGCATGAGGAATCGGGTACTTACTGGAGCGAGTCGAACGTTTTACCCGCATCTTTAGCGATGGTTCGTATATAGGAATCCCACTTGAGGTCAGGAGTTGGTACATTTTTGGTTTTGAAATGTGTTTTGACGCATTCTCATGATCAAACCATCGATCGTCTAAGATTGTCATCAGGGATCCATTTTTAATCAAAAGTCACTATTCAATCAAGAAATGGACAATTCAAATTTCGCAGATACCGCATCAATGACACTATATTATGAACTCTTTGACTTTCACCGAATGAATATGGAACCCATTTATTCTTCACCTTGTGAATTTATTTGAAATAGGCTGATATTGTTGAAATATAGACCCACATTTATCTGAGATATTTATATTTGAGATAGATTTTGTTTGACTAGTGTTTGCAGATACTGATTGCAAATTGCAGATGGACATCTTCTGCCACCTTGATCTTCAAGACTTGTGTCCTCACTGATCTGGCTCTTATAAAGATAGAAGATATATTGAGGAGTCAGGTACTTACTAGATCGGTACAGGGACCCGATCATCTTACCTGCAACTTTATGGATCGTATATATGAATTCCACTTGAGGTCGGAAGTTGTTGCAATTTCAATTTTAGAAAGTGTTTTGATACATCGTCATAGTCAAGCCATTGAGCCGATCGCTTACAATTGCCATATTCATTTCTCAACGCAAATGATTATTCGATCAAGAAATCGATGATTCAAATTTCGCAGATTCAGTATTGAACACACTTACAAACGTCTAGCCCTTTGACTTTGATTGAGTTCATGTGGCTCCCTTCGTAGGACCATGTTATATTGGGACCTCTGTACCCATTCGATCACCGATGCTAAGGAAGGTCGCGTATTGGATGCACCACGTCCTGTAAGCTTCGATGTATGGGTGGTGTAATGGATGATGACTTGGAATTATTTATTGGAGAGTCGATTTCCCGGACGATCACCGAAGTTAAACAACGTCGAGCCTGGTCAGTACATAAATGGGTGACCGCTTGAGAATACCAGGTGCTGTAAGCTTGGATGTGCTGAGATGTAATGGAAAATGAGTCGGAATTCTTAATTGTTGAGCCGATTTCCCGTCCGATGACCGAAGTTAAACAACGTCGAGCCTGGTCAGTATCCAGATGGGTGACCGCTTAGAAATACTAGACAGTAAGTTCTAAGCTAACAGTTTCTTTTCTCGCCCTTCTCTCTTGTGGAACTCCCTTTCTTGAGAATACCTGTCGCCGTAAGCTTGGATGTTCGGGTGGTGTAATGGAAAACAACTCGGAATTATTAATTGGAGTGCCAATTTCCCGTACGATGACCGAAGTTAAGCAACGTCGAGCCTGGTTAGTACATAAATGGGTGACCGCTTGGGAATACCAGGCGCTGTAACCCTGGCTGTGCTGGTGGTATAATAAATAAGGGCTCAGAATTATGAATTGGAGAGCTGATTTCCTGTACGATCACCGAAGTTAAGCAACGTTGAGCCTGGTCAGTACCGAGAAGAGTGACCGCTTGGGAATACCAGGTGCTGTAACCCTGGCTGTGCTGTTGGTGTAATGGATAATTGCCCGAAATTGTTAATCGGAGAGTCGATTTACCGTACGATGACCGAAGTTAAGCAATGTCGAGCTTGTTCAGTACCTAGATGGGTGACGGCTTGGGAATACCAGGTACTGTAAGCTTGAATGGCTTGGTGGTGTAATGGATAAAGTTTCGGAATTATTAATTGGAGAGCCGATTTCTTGTATGATCACCGAAGTTAAGCAACGACGAGCCTGGACAGTACCTAGATGGGTGACCGCTTGGGAATGCCAGGTGCTGTAAGCTTGTATGTGCGCGTGGTGTAATGGATAATGACTCGAATTTTGAATTGAGAGCCGATTTCCAGCACGATGACCGAAGTTAAGCAACATCGAGCCTGGTCCGTCCCTAGATGGGTGACCGCTTGAGGATACCACATGCTGTATGCTTGGTTGTACTGGTGTAATGGACAAGGGCTTGGAATTATTAATTCGAGATCTGAATTACAATTCACCCGCTGGATTTGTTATATTCACTATCAAATACCCTCGAGAAAGATATGACTACACCTTTTCTCCCCTAGATATGGGTTAATTAGTAAGACTTGTATCCTTAAAACCAATATTTTATCCAAAAACAATTCTTAACGTCTAAAAATATTTTCTGGCTTTAAGTGACCTGCAAAGGGTTGATAAGCCATAAAAAACGAATCGATCGACCAATTAACTTTTAAAATATGCCTGTTTTTTTTTAGAATTGGTGAAGTGGAATTCCTGGACTTGAAGAGCATTTGGCAGAAATCAGAGAATGATACTAGGAAAAAGAGCCTCACGACAGAATGATTAAAAAGAATGATCAAATCCATATATATTAAAAGAAATAACTGATGTATTCCCTATCTTGTTGTAAAAGTTATTCTCGAGGGAATACATTCTTAGATTGTTATTGTGTCTAGAAATCCGGACTTGACATATATTAACACACATGTGCATAGAGAATGAGTTCAGTGAATATACAAAAACACAAAGGGGCGTAAGGCAAGGATGTCTCTTCTCACCGGACATGTTCAACCTATACAGCAAGGGAATTTTGAGAAAATTGGAAAACCTACCGGTATTCAGAAATGGCGGCTAAATCTTAACATAAGATACCCAGATGACACAGTACTGATAGCAGACACGGAAATGAAATTACAAAACCTCCTACCGATGGTAGCAAAGGAGAGCGTGAAGAAGGGACTAAGCATAAACTACAAGAAGACAGAATGCATGGTCATCAGTAAAAGGATGAGCCCGAAATGCGATTGGCAGATCGGGGACACTAAAATCAAGCCGGGGCGTGGTTAAATAACGGGAAGTGTTCTGACAGAGGGCGGCAAATGCGACACTGAGATCCGCAGACGTAGGCTGAGACCTAATGCTAAATCCAAGCTCCCCACAGAGGGAGATGTTGTTGCAGTTTTTGTGTATATATGTGTACTAGTGAGCTAGCCCAAATGACTTGACTCACTTTATAGCCCACCAGTCGAAGGTTAACGTTAGCGTGGCTTTTTTCCGAGTTCCTAGACTAGGGGAAAAAATCCCCGTAGACTTCGTAATCATGGGATCGGGTTTGCCTATCTGCCCAGATGAGATTTTATCCTTCGGCGTAGCCTCGTCTCGGTTCCTTTCTGTTTCGGGCAGAGAGTTCAACAAATCGAAAACCTTGAAGAAGCAAGTATGTTACGCGCTTCTTTCCTCCAAGTGTCCTCTTTGTTTCCATTCTATCCAAAACCTCGGCTCATGGTATCCTCAGCATCTTTCTGTATAACCACATTTCTTCTGCTCTTCTTCATCTTTAAACCAAACGTAGATGACACGGTACTTATAGCAGATACGGAGAAGTTTTTTGACAGAGGACGGCAAGTGTAACATTGAGAACCGTAGACATATTGGGATGGCTAAGGACGCATTTTAAAAGCTGGACAGAGTATTGCAGGACAGGATGATCGCTTTGGTAACAAAGAAACTATTCAACCTATAGAGCGAAGCAATTCTGAGAGAATTGGAAATCCCACCGGGATTCAGCATCGGCGCCCATAATCTTAACAACATAAGATACGCAGATGACACATTACTGATAGCAGACACGGAAAAGAAATTACAAAATCTCCTAGAGAAGGTAGCGAAAAGAAAGGATTATATTTAGTCGTCCCCTCACGAGGGCGTCATGTGGCACAAGGCCTTTTTAACGTGGGCATTTCCGAGCCATTAGGCTCGGCCAAAAAATATCCCATTTGAACCCGTATAAACGGGTTCAGGGCCGGTTTTATCTCCCCGAAGGAGACTCCGCCCTTCGTCGCTCAGAAAGAAAAGAAAGGACTAAGCATAAACTTACAGAACGCATGATCATCAGTAAAAGGATAAGTCCGAAATGCGATTTACAGTTCGGGGACACTAAAATCAAGCAGGTGCGGAAGTTTAAATATCTGGGAAGCGTTTTGACAGAGGACGGTAAGAGCGACACTGAGATCCGTAGACGTATTAGGATGGCTAAGGACGCATTCCAAAAGCTGGGAAAAATATTGCGAGACAGGAGGATTTCTTTAGAATAAAGAAAAGAATACTGAGCTGTTACGTGACATCTGTCCTCCTTTACGGCTGCGAATGTTCGATGGTCTCCTCAAAAATGAATAATAGACTCGAGGCAACGGAGACATGGTTCTACAGAAGGATGCTGAGGATATAATCAACCGAGCGAAAGAATGTAAACAAGGAGGAGGCTGATACTTAACATCAGGAAGAGGCAGCTGAAGTTTCTGGGGCATGTAATGAGGAAGAAGGACCTGGAGAATCTGATACTCACAAGGCGGACAGAGGGAAAGATAGACAAGAGAAAACAACACATACATAGCGGGCTGGATGATAGAACGTGATCTGGTGGAAATGGCAGAGGAACAGAACTTTTTGAGAGCTGCATGGGATAGAGAGGAGAGCCATGATCGCCTACGTCCTGAAAAGACACGGCACATAAAAAGAAAATAAAAAAAAGAAATTAACACAGAAGGAATCTTCGTAGGAAACAAAGAAAAGATTACCCAACTGCTATATAATATCGAGCTTTCGATAAGACGACCGATGCCAAACAATTTTCACATTGATGAGGAGGAGACGTGAGGCTTGAGGGATGCTGAGAAAAAAGGTTGTAGTGAAATGAAACGAAAAAGGCAGAGAATCAGAAAATAATTGAAAATAATACGATATATAATGTAGAAAGACAGCTGGGAGAGTTCGACACGCTCAGAACATAGGGAAAAAGTGACAAAGAGGGAATTCTAATGAGATGGATGGCAAAACAGGGACAGGTCGTTTATAGTAATAGGAAATAAAAATTAATTACATTCTTATATATATATATATATATATATATATATATATATATATAAATTAACTGATTTAAAAATATGGTTTCATCCCTACACAGGAATTACCATGTTTCAAAAACAGAAGCTAAAATCTTCAAATTCAACCATATAATTAAATCAAAAACATTAGTTCTGTTTCAGCTTCAAGCGAATTTTGGAATAACTTATTTTGAAATTTACAGCGTTTTAAAAGCACATAAATTGATAATTTTTGTTTCCAAGGATACATATAAATCCAATCATTTAGACAGGGGCGGTCTGTATTTTTTTTTTTTAATTTACGGCAAAAATTTTTCGGCATTTTATTCGTTAAATTCTTTCTTGTATACATACGGATTATTTCTAAAAGGGATGTTTGAATCAGAATACGTTGTATTGAACTACAATTTTAAAATATTATTTTATCATTTTTATTTTTAATTACTAATAGATTATATTTCTTTTTAAAACAAATAAATATAATAGAATTACTTTAATTTTTTTAAAATTATTATTACATATCAAATATAAGTATGCATATTACCAGCTACGCATTTTTTAAATATTATTTAAGGAAAATTTTTGACAATTTCTGCAAAGAATAGTTATTTCATGTCTATGATTCAGTAAATTTTTATTTTTATAAACCCAGTAATATATAGTTTCTCATGTATGGATAAAGGACATGGGTCATTTAATGACCTACATATTCTAACTTTTCTTATTAATTTCCATTTTACTGTAGGTGATTTATTGGTTTCATTTAAGTGCCAGAAATATTTCGATAGGGGCGTCTGATTTCGGTATTTATTTATCCTAAATAAACTTTGATGTTGATTGAATCTTTTCTTGACCTCATGGCTTGTGCAACCTATATAGATTTTTATGTTGTTGGGATCATCAATAGATGAGATATTGGATTGGTATACTAATGATTCTCTGCGATATTTATTTTGTAGAGGACAATTATGAGGATTTCTGCAGTTAAATAATTTTATTTATCTTCATCTCTTTTTATTTTTATACTGTCTAAATTTCTTTGGTATAAGTGTTTATTCAAGATATTAGCATTATGTTTCTTAATAATTTTCTCTAAGTTTTCAGTACAGCTGTAACTTAATTTTAGTGTATTTTTATTGAAAGTAATACTGAGTTTACTATCTTTAGGAAAATGCTTAGCGATTAATGCAAGGAAGTTTTGTCCTAATTTATTCTTTACCATTTGGTCGTATGGGGGTGTATACCAAATGATTTGTCTACTTCTGTTTTTTCTATACTTTCCATTTTCATTCTTTATATAAGTTAGTGTTGGGCTTTTGTAGCCACTAACTTTTAGAGCTTCATTATAGAAATTAATATGTTCATAGAATATCTCATTTGCTGAATTTATACTTATTCTTTTTTCGATAGATAAATGTATATGCTTAATTATAGATGGAGGATGATTAGATGATTTGTATATACAAAGGATTAGTTTTGTTTTTTTATAAGGTATGTATGCACACACACACACTCATATATATATATATATATATATATATATATATATATATATATATATATATAGAGAGAGATAGACTACAGGAAAAGAACATACTGGGATAGATAGATAGATAGATAGATAGATAGATAGATATATATATAGATAGATAGATAGATAGATAGATAGATAGATAGATGAATAGATATGAACCGACTTGAGATATATAAACAGACTTAGAGAAAGAGAGACGGATCGATATGAACAGAACGAGATAGATTACGACAAAGAAAGTAGTGGAAGAAATCAATATACAGTCTTAGTAACCCACTTTTTCCTAAGATCTCGAAAATAATATACTCGAAATATATATATATATATATATATATATATATATATATATATATTTATTTGGTTGGATAGATGCGAGTTTGTGACCCTG